AGGGAGGGAAGAAGAAAGAGGATTGGGGAGGACGAGGGAAGACAGCCAGAGGGAGAAAGGGAAGGAAGAATGTAGCGGACCCACCAGGTGTGGTGCTCCACTAGTGGTAGAGCTGGAGATGGAGGAAGAAGGGGGGAGCGAGATGGCACAACGCAGCTCCCCACGCAAGACTCCAACGCACGTACTCCAAAATGTGCAAGTCAAGAATGAGACTGAAAACAGACAATGGTTGGGGTATACCCCAGCTGTGTAACCGGCTGAACGCGCTGAATGCGCGTTCACGTTCAAACGCGCACGTTCATACCCCTCGGGAGCGCGTTCAATCACGTTCAAACACGCTGCGTGCCACGTGGCGCGAAAAATTTGAACGTGACACCGGGGGGGGCGCGCGCGCACGTTGCAGACTACGGGGTGGAGGGCCTAGTTCAACAAACGACGAAAGTGCAAAAAACAAACCCCAAGAGGCCAACCACCCCGTACGGAGCAGCGGCACTGCTGTGGGCCAATGCCCCAGACAAAACAGCAAAAAAAAAAAAAAAAAAAAAAAGTGTGTGAATGTGTGTGTGTGTGTGTGAATGCTCCTTTTGTTTGTTTTCGGGAGGGGGTGGAGAAATGCCCCTAACACGGCTCAGACGGCCCATGCAGGCTTTCTCAAGGGTCCTCGCTGCCATGTGGCGCAGACCCCCCCCACCAAAATCAAGGCAGGCAGTGAATACGAAGAAGAGCCGGAGCTGGCCGAATATATACTGTCAAGAGCATATGCAGGTCTGTGTTACACCAGTTATGGGTTGCTCACGTAGCTAGGCCCTGTTGGTCTATGCACATGATTCTCAGGGCTTGGCTGCACTACTCAAATGTGCAAAACTAGAATGAATCTTCTGCAGAACGTGGAATAATACGCCGCCATATGTTTTGTCTTTCTTTTTCTTCTTTTTCTTTTCTTTTGTTTTTCTTTTTTCTCGTTTATTTTTTTCTCGTTTTTCTTTTTTTCTCTTTTTTCTTTTCTTAGGAATACGTGCAGTGACCCTAAAATAAAAACAAAAGAAAGAAAAACGAGAAAAAAAAAGGACAAAACATATGGTCGTGTATTATTCCACGTTCTGCAGAAGATTCATTCTAGTTTTGCACATTTGGTGGGTAGTGCAGCCAAGCCCTGAGAATCAGGCCTAGCTACGTGAGCAACCCATAACTGCTGAAACACAGACCTGAATCCGATTCTTGAGTATATATTCGGCCAGCCCCTGCTCTCTTTCATGTTCACTACGTGCCTTGATTTTCGTGGGAGGGGTCTGCGCCGCATGGCTGCGAGGACCCTTCAGAAAGGCCACATGGGCCGTGTGAGCCGTGTTAGGCCACTTCCCCCTGTGAAAAAAAAAAAGGATGCCTGGATCACACACACACACATTTA